GAGGCCGTTACACTCATGAATCTCTAACCAGAATAATCACTGTAATGTCACTTGATTGTTGATATGTGCTGCTGATTATCTATGCTGCTGATCTCATGCTGCTGATTTGTTTCATGCTGTTGTCTTTATTCATAATCTGCTCACACAGACTCATGTCCGTGCTGCTGTTCGGCGTATTGTTTTTTATGCTATTAGTACTTAGTGTATTCTTAGTTACGTTTTTCTTAGTTCATATCTTAGATTTTATTACTGTTTTTCTTTACAATTTGTACTTTTGTTGGATGTAACTGAGACCCTGTGTACACAATTTTGTTCCACCACATGTACCACATGTTTTGCATATGACCAATGAAGACACATTGACTTTGACTTTTGACTTTGAAATGCAAAGACAAGGTCCAGGCATAGAGGTGGGTCATACACGGGGAGTCAGAGTTCCAATAACAAGTCCAAAGGGTCAAACCGTAATCCAGAAATCCATAGGCAGAAGTAGTCGAAACCAGGGTCAGATGGGCAGACATAATCAGGCGAGATGCAGGTAGAGTGATAATTCCTTAAGACGTGGCGTGAGGTTGAGATCCAAAAGGCAAGGCTTGAGGTCGAGACTAGATGTCAGGTGTAGTGATGTGTCCTTCTGTGTCGAGGCTTCGAAGCGTTTGTCGAGTAATCCAGGAGGAATTATGTAGAGCGTGTATCGAGGCGTGTATTGATGATGCATGTAGTGACGTTCGAGGCCTCGCTAGTGGGCCGTACCACGTGACCGACTCAGGAACTGGCTCGTTTGTATGCACGAGATTTGAAATATAAGAAGCAGACAGAAAAATCCATCATCACCATCATCATAAAGACAGATTAAGATTATTTGCAGATCAAATTTAGACTTTATTTGAGGTCCTAACAAACATGATTTATTTTTTCTTTTAATCAACTTAAAGCTTCACAAACCAGTTATGTTATTATAATCCATCTACTTGTTTTACATTTATAGTCCACTTCATGGCGCAGTAGAGCAAATGAAGCACCATGGCGCGTTGGATCATGAGTCGAGCTGTTTGATGGAAAGCCTCAGTGCTTCATGAAGCTTCATCTCACCATCACTAGTCAGGCGTGAAACAGGATGGCTGGATATCTGAGACCATGACAGGTATGATAATCTGGTGGAGAACTAGTGAGAATGGAGCTCTTAAATAGCGCCAGCAACCGTTGCAGTGAATCAGGGCTGATGAGAGAAAGTGCAGAGGTGGCGTGGCAGAGTGTCTGAGCAGAAAACAGGACCTGATGAGGCAGGGGACAGAGGAAGAGGCAGGGCAGTTGACTTGGGACCAGAAAGTTGCAGTTCATCTCCCCGCCATGTCCACATCCCGCGGTGTCCCTGAGCAAGATCCCCACCCAACTGCTCCTTGGGTGCTGCCCACTGCTCCACCTGGGTGCGTCTCAGGTGTGATGGGCTAAATGCAGAGAACTAAATTCTCCATTGTATGGAAACATACAAAGATGACAACACATAACACTTTATTATTTATAGATCTTTGATTGTGAAATTTAATTTTTGACTATTTTTAACACTTCATTTAAAAACAGTTATTCAGTTATTATTTCTTTATATCTTCAAAAGGTTTTTCCTTTTGGTTTATTCCTTTCTGTGATGGTTTATATCTATAGAGACTGGCCAAACTTTGTTCGTGGGATCGGAGTTATCTTCCGGTTATTTAATGACTCTGTGCAGCCTGTGAGCTCAGGCTCAAACCCTGAGACAGAACAAGACCAGCCTGGTTAATCAAACCCCCTCCGGCTGTCTGACTTCTCTCCCAAAGCAAAGATGAACAACTTCAGCTGCAGCTCTGGTCTGCAGGCAAAATGTGTTCTTTGTAGCATTCAGAGCACCATAATGTGGTAGTTTTTAACAAAAAGAAGTGTTTTATATTATCAAAAATGCATTTAATAAAACAGATGTTCTGCAGAGTGGACAGCAAATTTGTATTTTAAATTGGAAGAAGTTTTCCACAGCTCACAGGGACAGCTGATTCTTTCACTCTGAGCAAAGGGGTTTATGAAAAGAGGAGTGAGCAGCAGAAACTACTGTACCTGAACAGGATTACTGTCCAGACAGACAAGAAAAACTTTAATCCTTACATATAATTAGGTTTTAAATTGATGTTTTTTGCATAGAATGTGTATCCTCAGGCTTGTGAGGGAATATTCTGTGTTTATTTTGTTTTTTGTTCAGTTTCTGCAGAAAAACGAAAAAGACAAAAAAAAAAAGTGACTCAAGTGACATCTGAGATCTGTCTCCTCTGACATGGGAACACTTATCAATTAAATTAGCTACTGAATTCACAAAAAATGCATTTGTTGCTCCCAAACAACTTTAGTCACGTCACAGTTTTGGGAGGATTTGGACCCAGAATGTAGACAAAATGTTCAAAAACAAAACTTTATCATGCGCTGTCAGGACATTATTACCTGCAGTGTCCCCTCAGTGAGGACTGAACAGGGCCTTCTCCTGCTCTGCTCCTGTTTCCTGGAATATCTTGCAAAAAGATCTGAAGCTCTTGACCTTGACCTCTCTAAGTGATTTTGAACATCTGTTAAGTTCATGGCAAAAACCAATGCATGTTCCTGTTTTTAGTTTTCTACATCACTTTACAATCTAGCCGTTTTTTCGCTACTTATCCTTTGAATTGTCCTTTTAATTACCATTTTATTTTCACTTGTTAAAAAAAAAAATATATATATATATATATATACACATCCTTTATGATTGTCTGTTGTTGTTCACTATTGTCATCACTCTTCGTTAAAATTCAGGTCTCTCTTGTACATTAGTCCCCGAGGCTCCATGGGATTAACCTGTATAAATAAAAGTTGAATGAATGAATGGAAATTATCCATCCGTTATTTTCTACTTATTTCGAAGTCAGGTCATGGGGGCAGCAGTTTGAGCAGGGAGGTCCAGACTTTTCTTTCCACAGCACCTCTTCCAGCTCTTCTGGGAGGATTCTGAGGTGTTCCCAGGCCAACTGAGAGACTATAGTCTCTCCACCGTGTACTGGGTCTCCTCCCAGTGGGACATAAGGAGGCGCCCAGGGATCATCCTTACCAGATGCCCAAACCACCTTAACTGGCTCCTCTCGATGTGGAGGAGCAGCGGTTCTACTCCGAGTCTCTCCCAGATAACTGAACTTCTCACCCCATCTCTAAGGGAGAGTCCAGCTACTCTGCGGAGGAAACTCATTTCAACTGCCTGTATCCACGATCTCATTGTTTCGGTCACTACCCAGAGCTTATGACCATAGGTGAGGGTAGAAACGTAGACCGACTTGTAAACAGAGAGCCTTGTCTTACAGCTCAGCTCTCTCTTCACCACAACAGACCAGCACAGAGTCCACAATACTGCAGACGCTGCACCAATCTGTCTGTCGAGCTCACGCTCCATTCTTCTCTCACTCATGAACAAAACCCTGAGATACTTGAACTCCTCCACTTGAGGCAGAACCTCACCCTTGACCCAAAGGGAGCAATCCATCCTTTTCCGGTTGAGGACCACGACCTCAGATTTAGAGGTGCTGATTCTCATCCCAGTTCATTCACACTCGGCTGTGAACTGCTCCAGTGAGAGCTGAAGATCACGGCATGATGACGCCAACAGGACCACATCATCTGCAAAGAGCAAAGATAAACTTTGTTATAAAACAAAAAAAAAGGTTGATTTTGCAGAAGAATTTACAAAATCAAGAGAAGCCACAAGGCAGAAGGATACACCAGGAGGCACAGAAAATGTGTGTGTAATACACAATGCTCCTCTGATTACTGCAGGGAACACTGAGGTTAAATGGACTGACGATGAATGGAGTGACTGGTTCAGTGACTGCAAAACAGGGAGAAGGTGTAGATGGGCGTGGCACACTGACTGGATAGTGTATTACAGTAAGAGAGAAGTGACTAGTGGCACAAAATTAAACACAAAACCTGCTCATATTAAAACACATGTAACATAACTAAACACAGGAATCAGAAAACATGATGTACAAAAAAATATATAAATGAATAAACTCAATAGGAACTAACAAACAATAACCAAAAACATAGATCCTGATATATTATTACTGGATATCACCAGTTTGAGACCATTTTAATGGGAATCCTCGAACGGAGGCTGCTTCATGTGTTTGTTCATGTTCATAAAAAACAATAACTTCTTTATTTATTACATAGAAAGTTTTGATCAACCCCCCAGCTGTAGTTTTCGTCCCCTGAAATAGGTGAGCTGACACTTTTTAAATTTAGCCATTTAAAAAACTTCTCTGAGCTGATGTCATGTTTAATGATGCTGGGACTGGGTTTGGAGATAAACTGGTATAAGTTATCTAAATCAACCAAACAAAACAAAAGGATTTCATAGATTTAGCCAGAAAAGGAGATAAATCATCATAAAAGGGATCCATAAAGCCCCCATGAGAGATGCCTCTCTCGCTCGTTCTCTTTCACATGCACACTTTACATCAGATTAGTAAGTGCTGGGGGGAGAAGAGGGGGGGGTGTTCAATCATTTCAGCATCTTTATGAAAGTAAAGTTAAAGCCTTTTGTGTCGTGCTGCCAAAAAGACGTAATAAAAAAGTTTTTCTTGGTGTATTATGTAACAACGCTTAGTGAAAATGCACGCAGAGGGACGTCATACTAAGATGACGTGTAACGCTGAAACATGTCGAAACTTTACAAAAGATCTTTATGAAAGATGAGCTTAAAATGGTGAGTAGGACTAGTGAAGTATAAGACTTGAACGTGGGAATAAAGTTTCACTCTGAAATGATTGACTCGTTTGTTTGGAAGTGGCGTTGCAACCCTTCCCAGACTGATGGGTACCAAGAGTTCAATTTCTAAGATCATTGCTGATGTCTTTCCATTTTGGTGTTGTGCTACTCTTTACCATTAAACCAGCAAAATCACATAGTCTTTCTAATGGTTTTCACACTTGCTGGCTGGTGTTTGTGTTTTTCAGGTGATGGAAATCCCAAAGAGAGCTGCCCTTTCATCAACAGCACTCCAGCTACCGGAGTGGAAAAGAGTCAGCAGTACGACATCAAGAGCATGGCTCTGTTCGAGGTGGGGACAGCACTCGTTAAGCAATGGTATTTGATGTGAGAGGGGTTCGTACTGGTGTTTAATGGCCAGAAATGTGAAAGCATTAAAGATTATGTAAGTGTATAATTAATTTTGGGGGGAGTGGTGGCACAGAGGATAGAGATGGTGAGCCTGTGATGTTACATCTAATATATGGGTGAGAAAGGTGAAGCACCCGCATCTGCTTTCACCCTTAATTCACTCTGGGCCCTTGAGCAAGGCTGTCATCGGCTCCCTAGATGGCAGCTCTCTGCTCCACGCGTGGGCTGCGGCAGCTGGGTGGCCGGTGGTTGTGTCAGGAAGTACATCAGGTGTAAAATACAGTTGCCAAATCTGGATCGTTGTGGTTACCCTGAAGAAGAGAGCAGCTAAAAGAAAAAAGTGTATTTAAATTTCAGGTCTGACGTAACCATGTGTATCTCTATGCTGCAGGAAGAGATCGATACGAGTCCGATGGTTTCTTCTCTGCTCAGCACTCTGGCCAACTACTCTAACCTGCCGACTGGAAGCAAAGAGCACGAGGAGGCAGAGAATAATGAGGAGGGGACACGCCCCTCTAAAAAACCTGTCAAGGTAGGAGTGTTTGTGAGAAAGGGTGAGTGACAAAAACACAAAGTTTGTTTTCTCAGTCATCCAGGTATATAACCACAAAAAA